GACCCACAAGTTGAGAATCGCTGCCCTGTGCTGCTATCAAGGCTCTGCCCTGTAAAGATGATCGTCTCCGAAACCCAAAAGGGGTAGCCCTCCTCTGCTAGAAAGTCAAAACCCAAAAGGGACCATTCTGTCCTGTGCTGTAGGGTCGCCATGAGTCAGAGGGCCTCGACGGCAGCAAGTTTGGCGGGGCGTGAGAATGAAACCATTCTCCACGCACAGTGGTCTGGGGCCGCTGCACAGGACTTCGCAAAGGGACTCGGATGTCTACACCCCCACGAATGAATGAAAGTGGACATGACCTTCTTTCCTGCTGAGGGGCTTCGTCCGCCGTGGCCAGCATCGACTGTGGAAGATGGGAGACCAAGGGCTGGGTTAGGACAGTACCCCAGGCAGAGAGGACGCTGGCCTGACTAGGTGGGCGGCTCTGGCTGTCGGGAGTGTGGTCAGGCTGTGGACAGGCCATCCATTTTCTAAAGGGAAGGGCAAAAAGAGGGCAGTGGGACAAAGTGGGACCTGGCCATGCAGTCTCCGTGTGAACCGTCTGGTCAACTCCTTCCGCCTGAACTCACATGACAGAACAAGACAGAGTCCGGGCAGACGCGGGGAAAGCGCTGACCGCAGCAGTGCTCACACGCAGGAAATGCATGGATGTTTCTGGCCCAAGTGTTCAATGACTCCCAAAGTGATGAATTGCTTTACATGAAGAGGTGCGGCCAATACCGTCCCGGCTTCCCTGAGTGCTTAGGTCTAAGATCACAGCAGCACCTCCTCGAACGGCAGGGTAGGATTACGGCCAAGGAGACGTCCTGAGAAAGTCTTTGTTCTAGCCACAACAACACCTTATCTCTATCACCCTCCTCCCCCCTCCCTCCCCTCCCTCTCTTCATTCTCTTCATTCAAATCCAGCAGCTGATCTGAGATGGATTCCTCCTTAAGAGACCAAACAGCAGCACAGACAGACAAGACAAGGCTCCTCTGTGGGCTGCTTTCATGCCTGCCTGCTCTTTACAGCGAGGCCTGGGCAGTGGGACCAATCTTGGTCCTTCTGGTGGCCCGAGGAGCAATGCATCTCTGACACTTGCCCAGTGAACAGCCTGGGTCTGTCTGGTCCAGCCCCTCACAACCAGTACCAAGAACGACCACCCACGTGCCTCCAAACCTGGGAGAAAGGGCAGTGATTCCCATCTTCCCATGCCCTGCAGCCAGCCATCAGAATATTGGGATGGCAGCCAAGACTTTCAAGGGTACTGTTGTCCCAAAGACTCTGGATCCAGACTCCTAGACACGCTGTACAGGGTTGGTTAGTGCCCCCCCCCCCAAGCAGGCCTAGGCCTTAACTCTAGCTTCCCTTTCTTAATGGAGTTTCCCTGAGGGCTGTCATCTGTGACAAACTCATTCCACAAATATCCTGTTCCTTGCCTGGCACATCCCAGGCCAATCAGTGAACAGAGCAAGCCAACTCCTGCCTGCCTTTATGGAGGTTACATCCCACAGAAACGGCCCCGGGGGCCTCATCTGCCCTCCCCTGGCTCCCCAAGAAGGAGGAGGAGCCAACTTCCCACCAGCCCAAAGCCTAGTGCCACAAGAAAAAGGTCAGACAGGCCTCGGCCCTATATTCTTCGTTACCTGGTTGGGACACAACACTCTCTTCTTCTGCTGGGTTCCATAACCCATCCTGGTGGCCACACAGAACTCACAGATTTACTCACGATAAGGGGGTTTGTTAGGGAAGTTAACGGATGACCGCAAGTGGCGATCATCAACTGGTAAGCACACGAACAGTGGGCCACAGCGACGCCTCTCTTCAGCCAGCAGCCAAGTCTCTCTCTTACTGCCGGCCTCTCAGCCCCTTGGTCCCTTGAACCTCTGCACCTCTTTGGGCCAGGAAGCCCACCCACCACTCAGTCTCACAGTCTTACTGTCTCGTCCCTGCTCCTCCGTGCTATCTTAAGATCTCTTTGTCTCGGCCCCTGATGTCAGCGG